CAGATCCAATTTTAATCAAATCCCACAAATTGTGCCAATCACCCCTTAAATGTTTTGGTCCGTTGGAGCCTACTTTTCCACTATAAAATGGGGTGTTTGGGTCTGTTTTACATATCACATTACTTCACAACTTCTACTCTTTCATTGCAAATCATCCTTCAATTTTTCATAGCTTTTGAGAGCCATTTTTGTGAAGCTTGTGTTGTGTTCTTGAGCGTTCTTAGTTTACTCATTATTCACTCTTAAAGAGAGTATTGTTCTTGAGTGTTTTTAGTGTTCTTAGACACTTGACAAGAGAAAGTATTTCTCTTGTTGCTCGAAGGAAAGGCTGTTTCCTTCGAAGGTTCGTTGAGGTTCGTGTGACTCGAATTCTCAAGTTGTACGGGTTTGTTAAGCACCGTTAAGCTTAACGAGATAGTTGTGTAGCTCGAGAGAGTCTCTCGGGAGGCTGGATTAGCCACAAGTTGTGGTGAACCAGGGTAAAATCGGTGTGCCTCTTACTCTTCTCTTTACTTCTCGTTTATTCATTTTTTATTCCTGCGATTTTTGATCAAACGCTATTCACCCCCCCTCTAGCGTTGGTCTATTATTCTAACATTTCCAACAATTTTGGTTATCCAAATTACTGGGGTTTGACTATGAAGTAGTTTACAAAAGTGGCAAGGATAATGTGGCTACTAGCGCCTTATCTAGGGTACCTGGTTCTGAGATATTACTTATGGCCATCTCAGTAGTATCGTCTGACTTGGGAAGATTGATTAAGAACAGCTACCTATTAGATCCTAACCTTATGTTGGCTGTCCAGACATTACAAAGTTCCCAGCCCCTGGGACACTTCACCCTACAAGATGATTTCTTGAGAAGGAAGAGGAAGTTGGTTGTGGGTCCTGACGAAGAGTTAAAAATGCAAATTATTAGATGGCATCACTCTAGTCCAGAAGGAGGACATTAAGGAAGGGATGGAACTCTTAAAAGAATAAAATCTTTATTCTATTGGAAGGGCATGAACAAAGTAGTCAGTAACTTTGTGAGGAACTGTGTGACATGCTAGGCTTCTAAAAGTGAGACGGTGCCTAGCCCAGGATTGCTACATCCTTTACCTGTACCAGAAGGAGTATGGTTAGACATTTCAATGGATTTCATTACAGGGTTACCTAAGTCTATGGGGAAGGAAGTAATTCTGGTGGTTGTGGACATAATGAGTAAATATGGCCACTTCATTGCCCTTAAACACCCCTTCTCAACCCTAGAAGTGGCACAAGCATATTTGGACCACATTTTTAAATTACATGGGTGGCCAAGGAGTATTGTGAGTGATAGGGATGCTGTTTTTCTTAGCCAATTTTGGCAGGGCCTTTTTTCACTACAAGGGACTGAACTTCTCTTATCAACAGCTTACCACCCTCAAACTGATGGCCAAACTGAGGTGGTTAACAAGTGTTTGGAAATGTACTTAAGATGCATGTGTGGAGATCAGCCATCAGATTGGTGTATGTGGCTTCTTTTAGCTGAATGGTGGTATAACACCCACTATCACACGGCCATCAAGCTCACCCCTTATGAGGTTGTTTATGGTCAACCTCCTCCTCTTTATCTTTCATACCTTCCAGGGGAGTCTAAGGTAGAGGCTGTGGATAGAAGCATGCAGAGGAGACAACAAGTAACTGAGCAACTCAAATTTCAGTTGGTGTAAGCTCAAAACCGAATGAAGGTACAGGCTGATACGCACAGGTCTGAGAGGAGTTTCAAGAATGGGGACTGTGTTTGGTTAAAACTTCAGCCATATAGGCAACAATCTGTTCAGAAAAGGGCTAACCACAAGTTGTCTCCCAAGTACTTTGGCCCCTTTCAAATTGCTACAACTATTGGCAAAGTTGCTTATAAACTTAAGCTACCAAACCACTCTTGCATACATGATGTGTTCCATGTATCACAGCTGAAGCCATTTAGGGGTACCCTCCCTACTGCCGTACACATTCCAGAGTGGTTCCAGGGGCAAGTTGCTGGCACTCATCCTAAGCCAGCGGCAATCATTGACGGGAGGATTCAGAAGGTTCAAAATAAAGCCCAAGTACAGTATTTGGTTCAATGGGAAGGTTATAGCAACCTGGAGGCTACCTGGCAACCAGCTGAAGATTTCAAGGCCGCCTATCCAGATTTTCAGACTTGAGGACAAGTCTTCACAATGGGGAAGCAATGTTACAGCTGGTGTTATAGATGGAGACAGCTGTCAATGACGTGGCACTCTTAGTTGTTACGTTTGTTATCCAAGTTTGTTACGTTCGTTATAAACGGTTAGGGCGGTGGGTTGTATATAAATACAAGGTGGATGTATGTATGGAATATAATAATACAATCTCATTTTTCCTCTCTCAAAATATCTTCTTCTTCCCCAAATATCTCTTTCTTCCTGGTAATCTCCATTGGAGAAGCTTACAGCTTTCCAAGCTGTAACAGACGAAGGGAACAACAATTGCACACCATGAATTCCGGCGATGAAGACTAGGGACAGAGATGGTGGAGTGCGATGCAAGACTTTGCTCTTCATGGAAGCTGGCCTCTAGCTTCTGCTGTGCGTACAAAGGGAAAAAACTCAGGGGAGTTTTTCTTGTCTTTTGATTCCGTTATCTTGGATTTTCCAATTTATCAAGCTTTCAAGCCATAAATTTGACTCTCCATATTAAATATTTTATTTTCAATTCCAATTTTGTGTTGAATGTTTAAGTTATATTATAAGTGTTGATTTGTTTGTGTGTTGATGTTGAAATTTGATTTATTGATTTATTATTATGTCTGAAATTATAAAACCTTCTTAGGCCAAATTATTTGACAAAAAAGATTAAATCTTCTACCCCCTCCATCCCCCAGTTTTTGTCCACTTTTGACTTTTGGAACTGTTCATCTAAGCACTTTGACTCATCAAATTCTCTCAATGTGTAAGCCTAAATATAGTCATGTGTGATCTTGTTTGATTTGTCTTAACATATAGATTATTAATATATAATTTCTATAATTTTTTAATGTACAAATTACAAGATAAAATGGATTAAAAAAGTGCATTAGATGGTGTGTAAAAATGAAAGTGGACAAAAACTGGGGGATGGGGGGAGTATTTGATTGTTCTTGTTGAATTTGTTTGACTTTGAAGAGATTTTAGCTCTATGTTACTGTTAAATCTAAACTCGAAAAGGTGTTCTAAGAACTATTATTCATCAGATTTTACTTAAATTGGACCAAATTAGGAACGCGCGCCTAATCCAATTTAAACTGATATTCTTTTAAAGTCCAAAGTGCTTTAAATAACCGAACTTTTCTGGAAACCAAGTGTCACTTGGTTAGTACTTGCTGCCTCGTTAAGCGGTTTTCACTAATAAAGGTTCTCGAACTGATTTTGTTAAATAACTGTAGTTTCCACAAATCGTAATGTGCTATTCTTAGTAGTAACTTAAGGGTTGGTCTTTGGGTTGCTAAGGATAGTAGGGTTTAAAGTTAGGGCTGGTTTTAACATGAGCTAGTATGAATGGGAAAATAGGGAAGAACCGTTGGTGGACCTCTTCTTCAGCCTAACCCTGACTTTAATTAGCAGTTTAATTTTAGAATCACGGCAAAATTAATTAGTTAATCAGATTTGTCCAGTTTATTTTTTATTAAAAACTGTAAGTATTTTCAAAATGGTTTAAGTTAATTATTATTGTCTAAGATTTTATAAAGTTTAAATATGTGTTTGTTTGTGTGTTTGTTGTCTCCATGGGTGTTCTTTCTGAGTTTGAGTTGCTATTGTGGTTCCATCTCTTATCTCTTATTTGTTATCATTATCTTATTTTATTTGCATTTTTATCTTTTTAGAACTATCATTCAAACCCCCATATCATTTAGTTTTAGTTTTTAGATTTTAGTTAGTTCTTTTTATTCAATAAAAGTGACAAGTGAACTGATTTTCATAGCCTAAAAAGTATCTTTCCTCGTGGGGTCAACCCTTACTTGCCCTATCTATATGTGTTAATAAATATTAATTCATAAAGGGAGTTTTGAGTTAAGAAAAATAATAAATTAATTTGTAGGTGCTACGACACGCCTAACAAAACCCACTTAGTCAAGGAAGGAATCATGTTAGCTCACAAGGTATCCAATCGTGGAGTAGAGGTGGATCGTGCTAAAATCGAAGCTATTGAGAAGCTTCCACCACCGAACTGTGTTAAGGCTATTCGTAGTTTCCTAGGACACACAAGATTCTATTGGAGATTTATAAAGGACTTTGCTAAAATAGCGAAACCTCTAACTACCTTACTAGAAAAAGGCGTAGAATTCGTTTTTACATATGAATGTCTACAAGCATTGAATACCTTAAAGTAAAAGTTGATCAGAGCTCCAGTTCTTATTGCCCCAGATTGGGCATTACCTTTTGAGCTCATGTGTGATGCCAGCGACCTAGTAGTGGGAGCAATTCTTGGACAAAGAAAAGAAAAAGTCTTCCGCCCCATCTATTATGCTAGGAAAACCCTCTCAGGAGCACAACTTAATTACACAACCACCGAGAAAGAATTACTAGCAATTGTTTACGCGCTGGAAAAATTCAGGCCTTACATCATTCTTTCTCCAGTTATCGTCTACACCGACCATGCTGCGTTGCGATATCTGTTGCAAAAGAATGATGCAAAGCCTCGGTTATTACGCTGGGTGTTATTGTTGTAGGAATTTCATTTACAGATCAAGGATAGAAAGGAATCGACCAACCAAACTCCAGATCATCTGTCACGTTTAGATGTGGAGGTAGCAGTGCATTTTGGGAATTATGAAGTGAATGAGTCCTTTCCCTTTGAAAGGATTAATGATGTGCAAGACAATGAGCCACGATACACAGATATTGCCAACTATTTGGCGGGAAAGATCGAACCTACCCTTTTGACACCGCATCTGAGCAAAAAGCTTAAGAGAGAAGCTCACTTCTACTTCTGGGACGATCCCTACTTTTTTAGGATCTCTGCAGATCAAGTGGTTAGGCTATGTGTAAATGAAACTGAAGGGCATGAAATCTTGGCTGCCTGTCATATTGGCCCAGTCGGAGGTTATTTCTCAGGAGCAAGGACAGCAAGGAAGGTTTTGAACTCCGGATTCTTTTGGCCAGTGCTTTTCAAAGATGCTAATCAATTTGTTACTTCCTACGATCGCTGTCAAAGATCATGCAACATATCCAAGAGGGACGAGATGCCACAACATTACATGCTGCCATGCAATGTATTCGATGTGTGGGGAATTGATTTTGTGGGGCCATTTCCAAGTTCATATGGCTACATCCTCGTCGCTATTGACTACGTCTCCAAATGGGCTGAAGCCCAGGCCTGAAAAAGGGATGATGGACGAACTGTAGTATGGTTCTTAAAGAAGCTATTCTCTAGATTTGGAGTTCCGAGGCTAATAATAAGCGACAAGGGCACCCACTTCCGCAATTATCCCATGTCTAAGGCGTTGAAACAATATGGAGTTCGACACAAAGGCAGAGTAGCATACCTCCCTCAAACGAAAGGACAAGTAGAGAATGCAAACAGGGATTTAAAGAGGATTATGGAGAAAACCGTGGCCCGCACAAGAAAGGATTGGAGTGAAAAGCTTGACGATGCATTATGGGCATTGCGAAATGTTTGCCTAGATTCTTTAGAAGCTGGACGAGAGAGATTTTATCAACTAGATGAATGGAGAGCATTGGCATTCCATAATGCCAAACTGTACAAGGAAAGAATGAAGATCTATCATGATGCTCACATCAAACAGAGCAAGGTTTTACATGAAGGCGATAAGGTGCTGCTTTATAATTCTCGATTGAGGTTTTTCCTGGGTAAGCTTCATTCGCGATGGATGGGGCCATATACTGTCACTAGAGTCTTTCCTTACGATACTGTAGAGTTGAAGGGTGGATCGGAACATTCAAGGTTAATGGTTAACAAATAAAAAGATAGTTGGCAATTTCAAAAGGAAAATGTGGAAGTTAAACTCCACAAATAATGAATGAATTATGTCAAGCTAGTGACATTAAAGAAGCGCTGAACAGGAGGCAAGCCATTATTTCTCTTTACTGTTTTTAATCTTTCTTTTTTTATTATTATTCTATGTTTGAATAAATGAACGGAGACTTGTCGCACCTATGAGGGGGCAAGATTTTATGTATTTGTTTCATGTGCAGATGCCTCACCGACCAGAGTTACCCCACTGCTTCACGTACTGATGTTCACTTGGTGGGCTCGGGGCCCATTGAGCGATTTGAGACATGGGGCCGCCACCGTTCGCTGACGCAGTTTGTGTACCTTTAATTGGCAGTTCTTGCCGATTATGGGTACGCAGAGGAGATGGAGGTGGCAGCAGCTTTTCATGATACGGGCCGAGTCCAACCTTCCCTTGACTATCGAGTTCTTGTGCTCCTTGGAGTTGGAGCCATCTTCTGGGTTGAGGTCGGTGAACCTTCGATCCATCAACTCTCACTCGCACTACCCTTGCCTTTACTCTCTTAGGGAAGGCGTTTCAGCTGACAGTTGAGGACCTGGCTCAGCATTTGGGTCTGTACACTTTGGAGGAGATGATGGCACAAGAGTTCCATGATGCACCCTTCCTTTTGCCCGAGGATGTCGATCACGCTGATTTTTGGGTAGAGCACTCTACTGATCCGGTCTGCTTTGATACAACGGGCCGAGTAAGGTTCTAGAACCAGCCGACTTCGCAGATCCTATCTTTTGTGTTTTCAACGTCCTTCTTCGCAAGGACGTTGAACACGGACCGGGTCTACCCCGACGATTCGATAGTCGTCTAGAGCTTGCACACACACCAGGAGGCGAATGTGGCCGTCTTTGTGGCTCAGTTCCTGTACAGCCAATCCCTGAGGAACCAGACGCACATCGTTTGTGGTTTTGTGGTCACCATACTCTTCTGGTCTCTCGTGGGGTCCGCGCCCATTATGCGGGACTTAGATGCGGGCATGCTGCGGAATGCTCATATTCGTAGGAGGTTAGACTCTAGCTCTTCCGAGAGCAGAGCAACACCGCCTCCTCCTCTGCGTCTTCGACGTCACGAGCATCTTCCCAGGCTCTGTCCAGGAGAGTCACTCGTCGCCGCCCCGCCGCCTCTCAAGCCCATGCAGCCACTTCTTAGGCGGATCTGACCCCTGATTGGGCCCGGAGGATCATGGAGCAGCAGGAGACCATCATCCGGATGATGGACACTATGGGGGAGCAGCAGGGATCCGAGGCTGAGAGCTTTGCTCAGCTTCGGAATGTCTTCTCCAGCTTCTACACCGATGTGCACACTGGCCTCACTCCCCGTCCTTCTAAGGGAGACGATCCCTCATTTTTTGCGCCTCCTAAGTGATTTTTCCATTACTCTCTTTTGAACTCCTATTTCTTTTTATTTATGAGCAGGAATTGATAATCAACTGGATTTTTTGGAACTTCTTATTTTCCTCCAGTAACATTTACTTATGAGCTTGTTTTATTTCTATTTCAATCAACTGCTTTGAATTATTGGTGAGTGTTATTTCTCTTATTATTATTCAAGCATTCCAACCCTATTTTATATACTGCTAAACATTTTTTCCCAACTGTGGGGACGCGTTTGTGTTCAAGTGTGAGGAGGAAACTTATCGGGTTGAAATGCTTGAATGAAAATTGTTTTACATGTATACTTGTAGAAATATTTTGTTTTAACTTAATCATCCGTCCAACTTGGGTAGTTAATTGATAGATTGTCGTTCATATAAGCTGGAAATTTTAATATTTTTTTCAAACTTATATTTTTATTCAATTTTTTTTCAAATACCCTTCTACTATTCCTGAAATAAATTAGTATTTTCTTAAAGTTTTTCTTAAATCAAATGATTTAATTACCTTCTAGAACTATTTCATTGTAATTATTTAATATATATAAAGGTCTACTTACGATACCTATATTTTTAATCTTTAATGTGATGTTTATTAAGATTGCGCTTAAGTGACGAATTGGAAATTCAAGCCCCATTTTGGGGCTCTACTTCTTCCATTAATCGCACAAGGCGAGGGAGTAAGTACGCATGTAGGATAAATCCACAATCTTAATAAAGTAAACATGTTTTAGTGAAATGAGAATTTTTCTCATTGAGAAGCGTTACAAATAAAAATTATTATATTAGACCTTTATGTTTTGGAAAATATTCGTTGACAAGTTGTTTTATAGGAAATAGTTAAATCTTTTTTATCTTAATAAGTTCTTGTAGAAAATGCAACCATTTCAGTAATAGTTTATCTCTATTTGATATAATCAAGTAAAAATACATGCTTGACAAAAGCTTTGCATATTTCCAGTGGAATGTGAGATAACTCTACAAATGGAACTAGTTAAGGATTGATGATTATGTTAGTCAAATTTGCCTCATGAGTATGCAATTAAAGCTCTTTTTAGCAATGTTAAGGAAATGTCATATATTCAATTGTTCAAATTTGTTGCTTGAGGTCAAGCAACGTTTAAGTGTGAGGAATTTGATAAGTTCATTTTGTTCTTATTTTATTCAACATATTTTAAGCGTTGTTGCACGAAAATAGTGATAAATAAGTACATAATTATTTCTTAAACTGAACAATATTTGTTGGTTTGTTCTTAAAGGAATAATAATTGGTTCTAAATTAAATCAGTTAGATTTTCAATTTTACTATTCATATTTATAAGAAAAAGAAGCTTTTAATTGAGATTTTTATCATGAGAATCTCGGAGGAGGTAGAAATAGTGTTTGAAGACATTTGGAAATGCATACTAGGCCAAAATTGGACCAAGCCGTGGAAAAGCCCAACAGGAGAAGGCCCGAAGCGTCCAACCCATGGACACTTTGCGGGTTGGACGTTTTGACTTAGACGCTTGGCGAATATTACGCTCCAAGAATGACACGTGGCAGACAGGGAGTAAACAGAACACGTATGGTGTCAACCTTTGGACGCTTTGGACTTGGACGGCATGGGTTCGATCAACCCTATATAAACAGCGCCCCCTCTTCGTTTTCACCATGCTTTTCCCTCAAAAAGTTTTAGATTCTTCCCCGTTAGCCTATATTTCAGAATTTCTTCAATATTTTTAGTCTGGAATCACTTTTCGGAGTTTTCTCGAAGCAATTTGTAGCCTAGTCCTCCTATTTTTCAGATCTATTAAAGTAAGTTCTCTATTTTTATTTATCAACTGAAGTATGTCTTCTTATTATGAATGCATGTTGAGATCTTTTGTTATGAGTAGTTAAATTAATCAGGGGCGTAATTTTTGGCAGGGTGATGGTAATTTTTAGGTGAAATTATTGTGTTGGAATTTTTACTAAAATTAAATTACTAGTTTTTATTATTGTGAAATTTTATTGAGATTTATAGATCGAGAGAATATTAATCTATCTTTGAAAATTATATTCTTTAAGAAATCTGGAATTTAATTAAGTCAAATCCTTTAATATTGGTAATTGATCTCTAGACATAGGGTTGATTATTAAGTAAATATTTAACGATTATTTACTTACTAGTAAAAAGATTCAAAGTAAAAGTTAACCCAACTACTAATAGTAACCTTAGAAAGCCATCACCCGAACAAGAATTACATCCCTATCTTTTAATCGTGAAAAGTTAAAACAATTCCTCTCTTGATTTTCGAATTCTTGAAAAAAAATTCAACAAGTAAATCTTGTCTAACAAATCTTATTACACTTTCCCTTGAGTCGATCCTTGAGACGACACGGGGATAAACTGATCTCTTGAGGTCTAGTTTACTCTCTATAATACTACAGTGTTTTGAGTCAAACGAAAATTCTTTATCAACATTGAAATCTTTGTGAGCAGCAAAGGCTAAGAAAAGTCTTATGGCTTCAAGTCTAGAAACAGGAGCGAAGGTTTCATCAAAATCTATACCTTTTTCTTGATAGTAACCTTTGGCCACTAACCGGGCTTTGTTTCTTACAACAATGCCGTTTTTGTCCATCTTGTTCTAGAAGACCCACTTTGTTCCAATGACATGTTAATGGGTAGGTCTTGAAACAAGTTTCCAAATGTCATTTCTGGTAAATTGATTGAATTATTCTTGCATAGCGTTGATCCCATCAGGATCTGCTAGTGCCTCTTCAGTGCTCTTTGGTTCCACTTGTTAGATAAAATATGCAAGCATGGCTTCAAGGTTTTGTTTGTTGGAACACGGGTTTACGCCTCCGTCGTACTAAACTGTGTTCGTCTTTATGACAGGTTTTGATAATGCCAAACCGCCGCGACATATCGAAGCTAAAGTGAGCAAAACTAAGGCGAAGGAACATGGCATGATGACTTGAGAACCAAGAACCCAGAATCAAGAACGAAGAACTAGAATTGTATTGAGTCGGTCTTAATGTGATCAAGACCGACACAAAATTCCAAATCTNGATGTTAGACATCGCTGTTGAGCCAAGGTTGGATTTCCAGAAACTTCTGGAACAGCGATGTAGGCTCCCCTACAGCGCTGTCCAACCTAAGCCAAAAATATAATGCATTGGCAGAAAGTTTTTGGACAGCGATGTTGACCCAGCAACAGCGCTGTCAGGCCAAACTTCCATCTCCAAAGGCAGACCTAAACAGCGATGTTCTAGTATAGAACATCGATGTAGAGACCTGATCGTTGGAAGGAATTTAAGGCTAAAACTTTCCTTGTTTGGAAGTCAACAGCCAAAACAGCGATGTAGGGATTTTAGACATCGCTGTTGGCATGACCGTTGCTTCCCATTTTTCAAACCGCAAGCCTAGAACAGCGATGTCCAGGCCTAGGGTAGCGCTGTCTGGGTGATTTTCAACAGATCCAAATTTCATCAAATCCCACAAATTATGCCAATCACCCCTTAAATACTTTGGTCCATTGGAACCTATTTTTCTACTATAAAATGAGGTGTTTGGGTCTGTTTTACATATCACATTACTTCTCAACTCCTACTCTTTCATTGCAAATCATTCATTAATTATTCATAGCTTTTGAGAGCCATTTTTGTGAAGCTTGTGTCGTGTTCTTGAGCGTTCTTAGTTTACTCAATATCCACTCTAAAAAGAGAGTATTGTTCTTGAGTGTTTTTAGTGTTCTTAGACACTTGACAAGAGAAGGTATTTCTCTTGTTGTTCGAAGGAAGGGTTGTTTCCTTCGAAGGCTCGTTGAGGTTCGTGTGACTCGAACTCTCAAGTTGTACGGGTTTGTTAAGCACCGTTAAGCTTAACGAGATAGTAGTGTAGCTCGAGAGAGTCTCTCGGGAGGCTGGATTAGCCACAAGTTGTGGTGAACCAGGGTAAAATCGGTGTGCCTCTTTCTTTTCTCTTTACTTCTC